TTAGTCATGATGAGCGTGCGTTGCGTCAATATCCTCCAGTTCAAATGAATGGAGTTCCGGAACTTGATCATACAGTGAGGAGGATGCTAGGAGATCTTATTCTCCACATGTTTAGCAAAGAGGCTTTAGTGGAGTACCTGCAGACTAATGAGAATACCCTCACTATGGATGTTTCAAGACTGCTTGCACGATTGCAGGATTACCGTGACGCGTGGATAGTTGTGAGTTCTTTTCTATTCACTAAACATTCGTTTCGAAAACTCAATTGTTTGAGGTGACATTCTATTCAATTTAGAACCCAAGAGCAACGCGCGAAGTAAGATCAACGTTAGCACAACTTTCTTCCTACTGTGTTCTGGTACAAGGAAAGGTAATATTAATTTCGCCACTCTTGTAGAAAATGAAATAAGAGTGAATATGTTATAAAGTACTCTTATTTTTTATATAATTTTAAAAAGTCACATATTTTTCTATTCAAGGTTGAGGAATACTTAGTTCTAGACAGCCACCACGAATGTCTGAACGAATTGAAGTCTGATTTGGAAGAAAGCGTGTTGTTGCTGCAGCAGATTACAACGCAATGAAATTCAATTTGATTGCATCTAACGTTCGGAGTGATGGAGTTGGTCAAATTGATCTATCACACATCTGCTAATGTATGAACTAAGAAAGTGTGATTCCATTTCATTAATAAACCCTCATGCTAATGCGATTTTTAATCCTCCCAGGTTTTGTTGATGGTCTGCCATTCCATATGGAACTATGAGTTTGTAAGAATAATTTTCCCTTAGTAGTTAAAGTGCCCTTATTAAATTATTGCTATAAATATTAGATAATAAAAATTAGAAATGAGTTGTCTAAAGCCTCGAATACAACGATTAAATAATTGGAAATTCAATGTTTCAAAACCCAAATGTCATTTAGAACGTCGTTTCTAGAGCGCTCTCAATCAATTGAACAATCTTCGGAAATTTAGTCTTTTTGCGATTTTAAGTGGGGTATATTTTCCATTGCAAGCTGATGCCTCTATGTCGGCGTCAAAAGGAATGTCAATAAATTTAATTTAAAGAAGGGCACCACTCATCTCAAGTGGAGATTAAAAGTAGCCTCGATTTTGCCTATTTTCAGAAGGCAGTTCACAGCTGGAAGATTGTTCTCGATACAGGCGGTCATTAGTGGTGTGAAATCTCGATTATCATGAATGTCAATATCCGCGTCATGATTGCATAAAAGCTCAAGAATATTTCGATGGCCTTTGCCTATTGCAGCATGAATCGGTGGCAAGTCTTGTTTATAGTTTCGATTCGCAGTATGTGCATGCAACGCATGGACTACATCTTTGTGGCCTTGAAAAGTAGCCTGTAGGAGAGCTTGATTCCGTTTGCACTCTCTATACGCACTATTATCCTCAGCATGGAGTAGAAATTCCACAGCTTTAGCTTCGTTCTAGATTATTAAGCCAATGAATTGAGTTAATGCTAGTTATTGATATAGGCTGTCATTAAATTGCAAATATCCTGATTGCGGTCATAGCAAGTGGGGTTACAGGACAACTACTGCATGGAGATTTGATGGAATGCACTCTGTGAAATAGGTAGTGAACGACATTGACATGCCCCTCTGATTCAGCTAGACATAGATGAGTTAAATTATCTTTATCCGGTTCAGTTAAGTCGCCACCATAATTTGAGAGTAATTCAAGGCCTTTTAGAAAACCAATTATAGATGCGACATGAATGGCGGTGTAACTGTCTTTATGCTTTTTAGAAATCCTTGCTCCGTACTTCAATAGAATCAGCATAACTTCCAACTTTCTCTTTTCAGTAGTTTGAATTAAAGGTG